AAATTTGTCAGTTTTGTTTAACCTTCTAAATACTTTTTTTTTCTTGTTTTTTTTTTTCAACTTGTTTTTCACATATACCCCACCTGGAATTGAATTTTGTGTATGGTTTGAGGTAGGGGTCTCATTTCGTGTTTTCCTTGTGGATACTCAATTGTCCCAGCCACATACATTTTTAAAATCGTTTTTTTATCTATCTTCCTTCAATTTTGTCTTTGTCATAAATCAAGTGTCCATATATATCTGGGTCTCTTTAAGAATAGTCTATCCTATTCTATTAATCTATTATCTGTCCTTGAACAAATATTAGACTGCTTTAACTAATGTAGTGTTATTTTAACTCTTGATATAGGGCAGAACAAATCGTCTCTCTTCTTTGTTCTTTAGGAGTGGCTTAACTACTTTTGGGCTTTTCATTTCTATGTACATTTTAGAATCTGCTTGTTGTGATTTCAGTTGGGACTGCAGTAAATCTATACACCAAGTTCATGTAGGATTGGTATTTTTATGACATTGAATCCTTCAGTGCATGAATATGGTGTTGCTTCTCATTTATTTAGGTCTTCCTTGATAAAAATTTATAGTTTTCTGCATAGAGGTCTTGAAATGTTTTGTTAGATTTATTCCTAGGTACTTGATATTCCTTTCAACACAAATGTAAATGGTACACTTTTTCTTTTAAATTAATATTCTAGCTGTTACTAACACAGAGAAATGTAGTTGATTGTTGTATAATGAGTAGTCTTGAGAAACTCATAGTTTCTAATATCTTATAGATTGTTAGTTTTTCTATGTATTCAATCATTATCTTCAAAATAACAGTAGTTTTCCTCTTTCCTTTGTAAATCTTTATGCTTTTTAGTATATTTTTCTTGCCTTATTCTATTGATTGAAACCTCTACTCTAAATGTTGAAGGGAAGTGGTTATTATGGGCATCTTTGTGCTTATCCTTATTTCCAAAGGAAAGTATTTAATATTTCATTATGAAGTTTGATGTTTGCTGAAGATTTATTGTAGGTAAACAATATCACATTAATAATTCCCCTTTTGATTAAAGACTTAAACATAAGACCTAACACCATAAAAACCCTAGAAGAAAATCTAGGCAAAACCATTCAGTACATAGGCGTAGGCAAGGAATTCATGATCAAAACACCAAAAGCATTGGCAACAAAAGCCAAAATAGACAAATGGGACCTAATCAAACTCCACAGCTTCTGCACAGCAAAAGAAACAGTCATTGAGTGAATTGGCAACCAATAGAATAGAAAAAAAATTTTGCAGTCTACTCATCCGACAAAGGGCTGATATTCAGAATCTACAAAGAACTAAAACAGATTTACAGGAAAAAAACAAACAAGCTCATTCAAAAGTGGGCGAAGGATATGAACGGACACTTTACAAAGGAAGACATACATGAGGCCAACAAACATATGAAAAAAATGATCATCATCACTGGTCATTGGAGAAATGCAAATCAAAACTACATTGAGGTACCATCTCATGCCAGTTAGAATGGTGATCATTAAAAAATCTAGAGACAACAGATGCTGGAGAGGATGTGGAGAAATAGGAACCCTTTTACACTGTTGGTGGGAGTGTAAATTAGTTCAACCATTGTGGAAGACAGTGTGGTGATTCCTCAAGGATCTAGAAATAGAAACTTCATTTGACCCAGCAATCCCATTACTGGGTATATATCCAAAGGATTATAAATCATTCTACTATAAGGACACATGCACACGAATGTTCATTGCAGCACTGTTTACAATAGCAAAGACCTGGAACCAACCCAAACCCATCAATGATAGACTGGATAGGGAAAATGTGGCACATATACACCATGGAATATTATGCAGCCATCAAAAATGATGAGTTTGTGTCCTTTGTAGGGACATGGATGAACCTGGAAAGCATCATTCTCAGCAAACTGAAACGAGAACAGAAAATCAAACACCGCATGCTCTCACTCATAGGTGGGTGTTGAACAATGAGAACACATGTACGCAGGGAGGGGAGCATCACACACGGGGTCTGTTGGGGGGAAATAGGGAAGGGACAGCAGGGGGTGGGGAGTTGGGGAGAGATAGCATGGGAGAAATGCCAGATGTAGGTGATGGGGAGGAAGGCAGCAAATCACACTGCCATGTATGTACCTATGCAACAATCTTGCATGTTCTTCACATGTACCCTAAAACCTAAAATGCAATAAAAAAAAATTCTCCGTCTTTTTCTAGTTTGCTCATAGTGTTTATTTAAAATAATAATAGAACATTATACCTTATAATTGCTTTTTTCATCTGTGAAACAATCACGTATTTTTGCTTTATATTCTCAATGTGATGAATTACATTGATTTTTTTTAACATTAAGCCAGCTTTGTGTTTTTGAAATAAACGAAATTTAGTAATGAAGTATCCTCCTATTTCATATCCCTGGATTCAGACTGCCTTTTCCTGTTGTTTAGAATGTTTGCATCTACATTCATATATGAAATTCATCTGTTATCTCCCTTCTATGAATTAAGGTTTCAAGTCTATGTTAGTCTCAAAAATGAGTTGAAGAATATACCTTCTTACATTTTCTGAGAGTCTAAAAGATTGCATTATTTCTCACTTAAATATTTTGTGAAATTTACACATATGCAACTTTATTACATAAAAAGGGCCATCTTCCAAATTACATTAAAATCTACACAATTATATAAAATTTCAATTGTAATAAATTATAATCTTGTAAAATTATAACCATATAATTAAAAATTTTAAAATTGCAAATAGATAAAAATCACATAAATTAGAATTTTACAAAAATTACATAATACATTACAAAATTGCATCACAAAATCTTCCCCACAACAGGCTTTGGAGTCAGATTGTCTTTGTATGAATTTTGGTGCTGATGACAGGCTGTGCAATCCTGTGCCCATCTCTTTACTTCTCTGAGTGCTCAATGTCCTTCTCTACCATGTGGGTTTGCTAAGGGTTCCTCTACCTCCTTCAGATGTCAAGAGGAGTAAATCAAACAGTGATATGTAAATCACTTCACCCTGAGCTTGGTCTAGAAAAGGTGTTTAATATTTGGTAACGACATTCATGATCATATGTTAAAATTTAATTATTCACTCAGGTGTTTATTGAGCACCTATTGTGGGGCCAGGCACACTAGATACTGGGGAAGCAAAAGGTGGCAAAATTGGATGTGGCCTTTCTTGAGCTCGGAGCAAGGATTCAGCATTTGTTCCTGCAGGTCTGTAACCCACCCCCACTGAAATGAAATGGGGGCCGATGTTTACTGTGCCACTTCTGTGCACCTCTTTTGAGCTCTGCATACTACTTTTGTGCCAGACAGGCAAGAATCAATGAAAGCATCCATTTCTGCTAGGTGGCAATCAGAGCCTAATATTGAGCTCTTCGGAAACCAACTCATAGCAGTCATATGCAAGGGCTACTTCCTTTAGGAAAGGATGGAAGAGGCCTTGCTTTTCCTAAGCTAGGTTTCCTGGTTATATTTCTTGACAAGGGCCAAATGTGTCATACAAAGGACTGTTTTCATTGTCCCTGTTTTCCCAGTTTCCTCCAAATCCCACCAGCTTCTCTGCTGCTGCAGGGAGTTTACAGCAAACACGTGCACAAAAGGAAGAACTTGCTGAGACCCTGGCAAACTGGAAACAGAATCCAGGTGGTTGAGGTCTAATCCTCCCCTTCCCCAGGTAATTTCTCTCCCGTGAGTGTGAACTTGTGAAATCAATAGTTTTCAGGTGGCCATGGCTCCTCCAGTATTTCTGGAAATCTTTACACCAGTGCCTTTTTTTGTGTGTGCCGTATGTGGCTTTGAGTCTCCGCTGCACGTTTCTCAGGTGGTTTTGTGAGGCCTCAGGAATAATAACTATTCATTGGCTTTGTGTGAGGATTCAGTGAGACACGTCAGGAATGCAGTGATGTCTGGTTGGCAGCACAGAATAAGGCTCATTTATGGAACTGGTTGTTGGGTCAGGTGGGGCAGTCTAGCTGTAGATATACAGATACAGACATCAACGAACATGTAGATGGAGGTACAGCTACAGATAGATGCACATGTACACATACATATAGTATATTCACATACAGCTAGTGCTCGACTTATGACCACAGTGGGGACCGCGGACCGGTCATAACACAATTTGGTCGTAAGTTGAGTAGGCTATATGTGCAGTTGAAATGGTGCACGTGGAGATGGTAGTGCTGCCGGAAGCTGGTCCGCACTGTCGTATGCCCAGCTGGGCAACGTTTGCGCTGCCAGACGCGGAGCAGTTGTGGCTAGCGACTGTGGTCGTAAAGTCGAATGGTCGTAAGTTGCATAGGTGGTAAGTCGATCAATACCTGCAGGCATGTGCCACCATGCCCAGCTAAGTTTTTTGTTTTTTTTTTTTAGTAGAGACAGTGTTTTGCCATGTTGGCCAGGCTGGTTTTGAACTCCTGACCTCAAGTGGTCTGCCCGCTTTGGCCTCCCAAAGTGCTGGGATTACAGGTGTGAGCCACCATGTCTGGCCTAATTCAACATTTTAACAAATAATCTAGTGCCTACTATGTGCGATTCACTGTGTTCATATTTACATGAGTAGGTCAAGTATTAGTCCTATTTGTGAAATCCCTAAAAAGAATGGAACATCTGAGTTTCTGTAAGTAGTGTCGGAAAAACTGTTTTCCCAAATGAGCGAAGATGGAGCAATGGGACTTTTGGGGGTGGGCTTCACAGGTTACCTGCTAATCATTGATCTCCATGTAGGTCTAACCTGGGCAGTGAGACATGGCCGTTCGCGGGCACTACTGCAGAAGACCTGGCATTCTGCCTCCTTGTGGAGTCAGACTTTGGCCCACTGCAGTGTTTGCCATTGTGGGGGCATCAGATGCTGATGGGCGGAATGAATGTGGAGGAAGTTGGCTTCACTAAGGCAGGGAATGAATGGCCACCACTGCTTTTGTGCCAAAGGACTGAGCCTCCCTGGGAGAGTGGACAAGAACAGGCTGGAGGAGGGGTGCCCTTCATCATCTTGTGAGCATCTGGGCCAAGTTCAGGGCTGGTGCTCTCTTTCCGATAGATTCAGCTGGTGGCACAGAGATCTGTGAGCTTGCTTTTGCGGGACTTTAATGATATATACAAGCAGCACGAGGTGCTCCTGACTGTGGATTAATTTGGAGATGACTCTCTGTTGAAGAGTGGCAAGACTCTTGCAAGTTCTTAAAAATACACTTGTTTGGTATGAGAATAAAAAGCAGTGGCTGAAGAACCAGTCTTCTATGGGCAAGGCTTCTCTGGTAAGTTAAACAAATTCAGGCTGGGATTTAGAGGAATTTGTGCTCATGTAAGGATTAGGGCATGCCAAAGAAAAAACTTTAGTATGCAAAATTATCACCGGGAGGCGATTTAGAAATACAGATACTTGCATTTATTTGACAGATCTGGAGCAGTTACTGTCTGCTGCAAAGGTTGCCACTACAGAAGCCATTAGATTTCTGTTTGATTGTGGCCACCAAGACTAAATGGGGGAACATCGGAATTACAAAAGCATGGAGGAAGGGAGGGAATTTTTTGCAACTCACGAATAACCTTGTAAATGGAAGAGCCTGTTTTACCCCCCAAAATGGAATAAAAAACTTGAGTTTATATGAGAAGTGTTAAAAATATATTTCCCCTATACCTTTCCCTTCTGGTTAATTCTGTTTTAAAATTATAATTTAAAGCAAAATTAAAAGTAAGCCAGTGTTGTGGGGGCATGGAGTGGAATCCAGGTACCTGAGCCCCACTTCCCAAGATGTGGACTTAGCTGGTCTGGGGTAGATCCTAAATTCAGAATTTCTAACAAGCTCCCAAGTATGCTGATGCTGCTGGTCTGCACATCATACCTGGGATGGCGCTAAGTGAGAGGTTGTTAATTTTCCATTTTTGGAGGTATTGAGCAGAGAATGGTTCTCAAATTTGGCTGCATTACAGTCAATTAAGGAGCTTTAAAAAAGTCCTAGACGAACAACAGCAGAAAGTCCTGTAAAAGCAAGCTCACGGATCTCTGCACCACCAGCTAAGTCTATCTGAAAGAGAGCACCAGCCCTGAACTTGGCCCAAATGCTCACAAGATGATGAGGGCTGTGGGGTCCAGGCATCTGTATTTTTAATAGCTTCCCACATAGTTCGGTGTGTAGCCAAGGTGAAGAACTGCTGCTCCAGGAGAAAATTATTTGCGGCAACGACAGCCAAAGGTCATAGTCATCATGAGGGGTCAGAATCGCTTTGGAGACCACGAATATTTTGTAACACTTCCATCCTATCTTGAAAATCACAGATTGTATATTCTACTTACGCATCCTTAAAAAAAGTTCTTTCTGTAATATAAAGGAGAAACAATGAGAAGTTGAAAAAAGTAACTTTTGGTAAATATATATATATGTACACATTATATATATATATTTTTATATATATGTGTACACATTATATATATATATATATATGTATATTGGATAGGCAAATGCTTGAGCACGAGTTCTCTAGAAGACATAATAAAATATCCAGGTGTTTTTCCTGTAAGAACGTGACCCTGACAGCCCCAGATCCAGGCCAAGCCTGGAGCATAGGACCAGTGACTCAGACATTACTGGCTTGGTGTCATGGTGCCTTGGTTTTCCAAATGGGTGAAAAACGCTCAGGAAATTTCTCGACTGACTCTGGGTTCCTGCATATTCTGTTCATACTAAACCAGGCAATAGTGCTCTGTGATTACATGTCAGAGAGTGAGGGTCTAGGGTAGGGTCATTATCAACTGGTTGTTCCCCAACATGCATTTTAGGCTCAAATCTGAGCATTTCAGAGATTCGAGCTTCCCCCTTCCTCCCCCAAAGGCGAGGATGTCTCCACTGTCATCGAGCAATCACAAGCGCACCCTCGAGTGTCCCAGGGCTCCCCGTGAACACTGACGCGGAGCAAGGACTGAAGGTGAGCTCACCGAAACACACTGGAGGCCAGCTTCACCTTCCCGCAGACCAGGGCTGGTGGGCGAAACTGTGCTTTCCCACCCGGGTGGCTGCAGGCGCCAGCGCATTCAAGGGGTGGAGAGAGAAGGGCTGCAGGCTTCCAGCCAAGCTTTACCCTCACTGAAAGTCTGGGTTCGGGTCCCACTCCCCGGGCATGAAAAGGGGCCCTTGTAGAAGAGCTAAAGGAGCTTCCTTCACATCCCTTGCACTCGCCCCCTCCCTCAAAGATAATCCTGGGAAATATTTAGCGATCTCCAGTGCCCTCTAGTGGCAGATACTTGCCATGCCAGGCACCAAAATATGGTTAAATTAATTTTTATTGTTTAAGGTTTATATATTAACAACCTCAAGCTTTCCTGCATTTCCTTTTATCATCCCAATCTTACTACACCCCTAGAGAATATTTCCTATGCATTTACAAATGATATATATGTATATATATGTATATATATATATATGTATATAATATATTTTTCTATATGTTACATAGAGATGTAGACATGTAGAAATATATATTATGTGTGTACATATAAAGTGTATGACATATATAAACAAAATATATTTTGTATGGAATATATTTATATATATTTTATGTTTACAAATGTAAAACATATTTAAAAACTATATAAATATACAAAAATATAATACATTTAATTATATATTTATATATATTTATATAAAGTTTATGTTTATATTGATAATATATTTTTATGTACTGCATAAAGTCTGAAATATATTGTATGAGGTTTATTTTTATTTATTTATTTATTTTTGAGTCAGGGTCTTGCTCTGTTGCCCAGGCTAGAGTGTAATGGCACTGTTCACTGCAGCCTCAACCTTCTGGGCTCAAGGGATCCTCTCACCTCAGCCTCACAAGTGGCGAGGATTACAGGCATGAGTTACTATGCCTGGCTAATTTTTTGTAGAGACAGGGTCTCCCTGTGATGCTCAGGCTGGTCTTGAGCTACTGGGTTCAAGTGATCCTCCCATCTTAGCCTCCCAAAGTGCTAGAATTACACGTGAGAGCCACACACCGGGCCTGAGGTTTTTAAACACAGAACTTATCTATTTAACTGCTGCATAGTGTTGTGCGGTGTGAAAATAACTTTATTTATTTCTCTCCCCTACAGATGGACATTTACATGGCTTTCATTTATCTTCCATTACAAGAATATTTTGTACATGCATGTGAGTTTTTCTATAAGAAACACTTCCAGCTTTTCATTTAAGTCAGAGACTCAAACCTGAAATGCAAAAGCTTGTAAAACTGTGAGGTGTTATCATCCCACCAAAGGAATGAGGTGAGGGGAAGTTTTATAAACTTAGAACGGAAAAAAAACGCTGGATATGGGGGAGGGGTGGGGAATGGGGGATCGTTTTCACCCAAAGCTGTATTCAGGCCCTGGGGCTTTTGTTTTTATATTTACTTAGAACATAGATAAAACTTTTATCTGGTTCAAAATTCAACAACAGAAAGGTGTTAGATCTCATCTTCCTCATCCTTCTGTCTTCCAGCCGCACAGTTCACCTCCGCAGAGCCCCCCAAAGTCACCAACGTCCTCTGTATCCTTCCAGAGACAGTTCAGGCATAAGCAAAAAAAAAAAAAGTCTTTCTCTTTCTTATTTTCCCTTCAAAACCCACCAATAATTGTACATGAGATACATAGCCTGCCCCTTTTTCTTGTTAAATAATGGGAGATTATGCCATTATGAAGAAAAAGAGTCCTCCATTCCCTTTGTCTGGCATTCCATTATGGGAATGAGCTGTTGCTTATTTAGCCAGTCCCCACCTGAAGGACACTTGGTTGGTTCCAATCTTTACTATGACAACAGTACCACAGTGAGTCACCTTGTACAACTGTCATTGTGCACATGTGTGGGGACACATGGAGGATACAGTGCTGGTAGTCGAATTCCTGGCTCAGAGGATTTTTAAAAAGAACCACAGGTTGCCATCTGTGGAAGCCTTGCCAGTTTGTAATCTTGTGTGATCAGCCTCACCTCTACAAGCACGAGAGTCATCCAGTGTTATGTTATTTGAGAACTGGATAAGCAAAAAATGATATCTCAGGGCACTTTATGGGACATGCTAAAGTATGAGTGCAGCCACATATGTTTTCAAACACTGATAAGGGGCCCTGGAGTTTTAGTGCCTTTCTTTAGAGGAATCTTGGGTGCTGGTCTTACCGACTCAGAGCCTCTTCCTCAATCTGCATCGCCTTAGCTGACCCTAGAGCACTTCAGGGCATTACGTGGATTTGGGGTTTTCTCATCCTGCTCTCCTTTCTTTGGGAGTGGCCTCCGCGGCTGCCGTCTTCCCATCCTCCTATCTCTATCTCAGCCACGCTATCCCACTTCTGTCCAAAAGCCACGGGCATGAGCCATTCCAGAGGGAGCTGACTTTGCTGAAACGAATGTGATAAGGGCCTAGGTGTTGTGCTCTTCCCTCAGTAGGCTCTGGCGCTCTGGCTCCCAGTCTATGACCTGCGATCCCCTCGTGTCCCATGTGCGTAACCTCTCCATCCAATAGCATAAGCAATTCTCAAACAGCCACGTGATCTGAATGCCTCCAGGCATGCCCTGCACTTCCCAGCTTTGCATCCTGGCCTGTGCTGCCCCTCCGCATGTGATGCCCTCTTTGAGTCCGGCATGGGTGCGTGGCCGCCTGCTGTAGCAGCTCAATCCTCGGGCCCGTGAGCTTGCCCTATTATACACGCTCCTGTGGCACCGTCTTTGTAGGTAGTGGCCACACCAGGAAACGTTTCCCAGACTCTCATTTCTCTTGAAAATTGTGTCATCAAATTTCAGCACATCTTAAGCAGTTAAAAAGAAAATTAACATGCCAAATTAACAGAAGAAAGGGGAAGAAGGAGAAAATGCAGTCTGCCCCAAAGCTGTTCTTAACCATTTTTGGAGTGATTTCATATTTTTTAAAGCTTTAGGCAGAAAGTACAATTGTATTGATATTTGTATCTTGCTGTTCCATATTCAATGCAATTCAATGTGTAAAAGCTGCCGCGGTGGCACTAGGTGACAAAGAGTTAGTCTTCCCACCCACTGAGTGCATGGACCCAGAACAGAATGGGGCCCGAAGCCCCACTGCCTGAGGCCGAGTTTCCATCCACGGCAGACACGCTCTTCAGCATCTCCACCTTCGGCTGCTGTTACCTCTCTGTCCTGGCTTCCTCCAGTGCCCCAGGGAAAAAGACCCATCACATTTTGGAGGGAAATAAAGAAATAAAACTAAAGACCTATTCGATTTTGGCCTTTGGTTGGTGGGTAATAACCTTGAGAGCACAGGCATTTTTCCAGGCTGGAGGGCAGTGGTGCCACCACAGCTCATTGCAGCCTCAAATACCTGGGCTCAAACGATCCTCTTGCTTCAGCTTCCTGAGTTGCCTGGTTACTTTAAAAAAATATTTTGTAAATACAGAGGTCTTACTATGTTGCCCAGGCTGGTCTCGAACTCTTAGCCTCAGGAGATCCTCCTGCCTTGGTCCCCCAAAGTGTTAGGATTATAGGCCTGAGCCACTACACCTGGCCCAGGCATTTACTTCTTTTTAAAAAGAGGGGGGATGAGTTTCTGGGGGGAAGCTAGCTTTCACCTACCTTCCTGCTACCTGGGAGGTGCTGTTTATGAATTCAGGATTCATCTGTCCACATTGATGATTTTCTTAGCTTGTGAGGTTACTGAAACACAATCATTATAGATAGAAAACTTTCCCCAGTGGCCCCTTGAGACAGGTTGAATAATGTCATTTAATCTCTATAACCTCCCTCTGCAGTGCGCAGGGTTACTCTTGCTTTTAATGATGAGAAAACAGAAGATAAGTCCATAGGAGGATGGAAACTTGGTCTCAGGCAGTGGGGCTCAGGCCCTGTTCTGTTCTGGGTCCATGCACTTGGTGGGTGGGAAGACCACTAACTCTTCACTACTTAGTGTCACTGTGGCACCTTTTACACATTGAATTACAGTGAATATGAAATAACAAGACACAAATGTTAATAAAATTATCACTTTCTGCATAAAGCTTAAAATAATGTGAAATCACTCAAAAATGGTCAAGAACAGCTTTGGGGCATATTGCGCTTTCTCTTCTCTCTCTCCCTCCCTCCCTCCCTCCCTCCCTCCCTTCCTTCCTTCCTTCCTTCCTTCATGGAGAGATTGTTACAGGGAGGCCTATGGGATGCGGCCTAACTCTAATTTTGGAGGCAAATGCTATGTGGGGACTTGCAGGAGGCAGCGCTGTGCTTGCTGGAGCTCAGCTCTAACTTGCGTTGGGTTTGCATCCAGCTGCTGCTTGGCCCAGGGAAGTCTCCAGCTGCTGCTTGGAAACCAACAAAAACAGCTGCGAGGGCATTTGATTTGTGCCTCCGCCATCTTTCCAGCCTCAGTCAGATGGGCATGGAGACGCTTCTAAAAGGAATGCCATGACGGCTGCCCAGGGAGAGCCCCAGGTCCAGTTCAAACTTATATTGGTTGGCGATGGTGGTACTGGAGAAATGACCTTTGTGAAACATCATTCGTCTGGTGAATTTGGGAAGAAAGAAGTACATAGCCACCTTGGGTGCTGAGGGTCATCCCCTGGAGTGCCACCCCAACAGAGGACCTGTATGTTCGGTGTGTGGGACACAGCCCGCCAGGAGAAATTCGGTGGACTGAGAGATGGCTGTTATATCCAAACCCAGTGTGCCATCGTAATGTTTGATGCAACATCCAGAGTTACTTACAAGCATGTGTCTACCCGGCATGGAGATCCGGTGCGAGTGTGTGAACACAACCTCATTGTGTTATGTGGCAACAAAGTGGACAGCAAGGACAGGAAAGTGAAGGCAGAATCCATTGTCTTCCACGGAAAGAGGAATCTTCTACGGCCACATTTCTGCCAAAAGTAACTATGGGTTGGAAAAGCCCTTCCTCTGACTTTCTAGGAAGCTTATTGGAGACCCTCATTTGGAATTTGTTGCCGTGCCTGCTTTCGCCCCACTGGAGGTTGCCATGGACCCAGCTTTGGCAGCGCAGTGTGGGCACGACTTGGAGGATGCTCAGACCCCCGCTCTCCCCAGTGAGGATGATGACCTGTGAGAAGGAAGCAGGAGCCCAGTCAGAAGTCTAGTTTGATTGGCAGCTGTCCTGTGACGTCAGCGGTGCAGCGTGTGTCCCGCCTCATTATTACCTAGCTAAGGGGAACATGTGCTTCATCTGCGGGGTGCTGAAGGAGGTGAGTGGGCTTCGGAGTGAATGTGGCAGCTTACAAAATACCTTCACTGCTGGGCGCGGTCGCTCACGCCTGGAATCCCAGCACTCTGGGAGGCCGAGGCGGGTGGATCACCTGAGGTTGGGTGTTCGAAACCAGCCTGACCAACATGGAGAAACCACGTCTCTACTAAAAATACAAAATTAGCCGGATGTGGTGGCGCGTGCCTCTAATCCCAGCTACTCGGGAGGCTGAGGCAGGAGAATCATTTGAACCTGGGAGGCGGAGGTTGCGATGAGCTGAGATGGCGCCATCGCACTCCAGCCTGGGCAACAAGAGTGAAAGTCTGTCTCAAAAAAAAAAAACAAAAAACAAACAAACCTTCATTGTTTGGACTTGCTTATTTAGCTGTTCTGGAACGTAGTTGATTCCTTGACTTTCTTTTTTTTTTTTTTTT